TAGCTCGAGAGAAGTTGAGGGGCTTTCCAATCCAGGCGAGAGTCATTCTATGATCGCCAGAAATGAGAGCTTTGTGAATCCAACTTTCTTTTATGTGGGTCCTCCGGGGGTCTATGAACTAATGGCACTAACTCCTTAAGCTTCGAAGCAGTGTTCGTGTCCAAGCTGGCCAACCATGGGCATGTAACAAGAGTATCGAAATTTGCTGCGCTGGTGGGCGTGGCCAGCGATGTCGCCTGCCGCGGCAACTGGATAGTTTGCAGTCGCATATAGGATATTCTGATCTCGAACAGCAGAGATCATAACTCAAAGACGTTAGATTCCCTATTTAAGGAACATCGTACCCAAACTGCTGCACGATGCGCTGCGTGCGACGGGGGCGGCGAACTTCGATTTTCTTGACCGCTCAACTACTGAACAAGGCCAATTTCGAGAAATTGATAATTATTTCCAGATCATCGACTACACCCTGGACAACATGACGTTATTCCTTGATGCGATGTCGTATCGCCTGTATGGAGATATAATTTTCCTAGCGCCTGTATTTATTCCCGCCAAGAACAGCCCGGATCTGGTAAACCACTATCTCTTGTTATCCATTAAAATTATCGAATTTGTCGCCATCACTTTCTCACTGCCAGTCACTTTCTTACACAACTACAGTCTCAAACGTAGCGTTATATTTCATCCAAATCTCGTCCGAATCTCACAGGTAACGCCTCGATTTGATAGTACTGCTTTGATATCGAGGGTGTGTCGAACACCGTATTCCCAGTGGCGCCACCCAATCCACGTTTGCTTCTCCACCCTCTCTGTGGTAACTGATAATTAAAGTGATAAAAGCACGACGGACGAGTTCAATGTTGGGGATTTGGGGCACAGTTCGGCCTGGGAGAAGAGGGCACCTAGTTAGCTGCTGTCATCGTGTCAGTCTTAGAGTATTGGGAATAACTGCTGTGGACAGTTCCCGCAGGAAGTGAATACTGGGGTAGCCATAGGCGAACAGGGTCAAATATTAGGTTGGCGGAAAGTTCTGTCACACTTTTTTAACTCAAAATACTTGCCCATTACCTGAAGAGGGGTAACCGGTAATGTGAGCACTTATACATCAAGGAGTGGTCTTTCTATTAGTACCACTCGCTTGACTCCTGCTTCTTCTTCTCCTGCAATATGGAACCAGATTTATCCGCTACCATCGGCACCGATCCCTCCAAG